ATGGATGTTGATTGTTATACCACTCTGGTTTTAAAAACGTGTACAGAAACATACGTAGTAACATTAAAACATTATTTACAACAAATCCATTAATAAATAAACAAACACACACAAAAACAAGCAGACGCTGCGAAGTAAATAAAAGCTTGTAAAAATCTGTACTCTTTTGTTAAGAAAAATGTATTGATTATAACGAACGTATAAGCTGAATAAAATTTAAAAAGAAAAAGAAAAGTTAAAACAAATCAAAATGTAGCAACATCCGATTAATTATGCAACTGGAGCAGCACTGCTTAATTAACATCATTAAAGGACGTAGTTTTCTTTAGAACAAGCATTACGTCCAGTCAAACATTAGACACTACTAGATTTTGCGAATACGCCTCTTTCTGCTTTATAATGAATAATTATGTTTCGGTTATAACATTAAAAATACTGTAAATGACCTTAAAAATTATACATACAAACGTATATACACACAAACGTATTTTTTATCACTTTACACAGAAACACACACACACCTATATATATATATATATATATATATATATATATATATATATATATATATATATATATATGTAACATAAGCCATACATAAGAAGTATACCATTTAATTAAGCATATTTTAATAACTTACGATTCGGCACTACAAGACGTAGAAAACATGAATAGCTCTAATTTATTTGTAACATCTGTTTTGCTCTAAAGTATATGTATAAGCTGTTTTATAACAAGCCATGTGTTTCTGGTATTCTCTATCAAAATCTTTATTTAAATCTTCGATGAACCAATTTGTCCAGTCGCCCACCGCACCTAGAAATAATAGTTTTTATTATTCAAAGATAACTGGTAGTCTAGTACAAAAATTACAATTGAAGATAAAAAACAAACATGAACCTCATTTTGATAAAAGTAATTGTAAGTTTTAACACATTTATTTATTTTCTAGGTTTCTTCTAAGCCGTGTATTCTTCAAATAAGATACTTAATTTTAATACTCCGTAAATAGCTATTCAGTATTTTTGTACACATTTCAATATCCAAAAAATATTTGACCGATAGAGATCATTTTTTTTTATTTTACAGGATACCCACAACATCATTATTTTTATACACAAAATATTTTTTGGACAAAATTCCTGAAATCGTGTCGTAAATTTTACCTTTCCTGTAGAAGCCAATTTTTCTATTCTGAAACCAAGCATTTTCAGTGTCTGGCGCATTGGCTTCTTTGAAGTTTTTCAATCTGTCGAAGCTACACGTCTCTGCTATCTTTTCACACAGATCCTCGCTACATCCAGTTCCCAGAAACTCATTCATTTTTTAACGCCAGCTTTTTCATCCTGTTTTAGTCATGTAGCTTTTATTTAATTGCATCTGCTTATTTTTTTAGAATGGCGTATAGAAATAAAACCAAATAACATGTAACAGAGGCGTGTCGGGGGGGGGCACATATTTCCCCGGGCGTCGACTTTAGGGGGCGCCAAAATGGTTTGGAAAACCAATTGAAGGTTTGAGGGGGGGGTGCACTTCGAAAAATTGTCCCCGGGCGCCGGGAAGGGTCGCTACGCCTCTGACATGTAAACTACTAACATACTAACTTGATTTGTGGTAAACTAATATTGCCAGTTTTAGAAAAGGCAGCAAATTGTAATTTTATATCCGTTTTTATTCTCAAACTGAATTTATATCACAATGATAAACTTACGTTTATATGACAAGGATAAAATTACTAATATCATATCTTCGTACACTGATGTATAAAATGGAACTTCCTTGTTAGCGTCAATGCCTTCTTGCATATCCATCAGATAAGTGAATATATCTCCGTAATAATCTGAAATACATTACATTAAAAATAGGTGTGTTAGTTACAACCATAAGCATTTATTAGTAAAAAAACAACTACTGTAGCTTAGTTGCTATGAGTGAATCTAAAAGCGTATATCCAAATTGTGGAATTTGAGTTTTAGAGAACTGGACTGCTAACAGGTAAGTCTCGAGTTCGAATCCAGGTTCAAGTCAGTAGACCGTCCCTGAGTCCACCCGGTTGGAAAGTAAAGGCGGCTGGGCATAGTGCTGACCATATTATCTCTTCATATGCCTAGGTCTCAGAAACAAGTGAAATCTACTTCACTTTCAATATAGACCGTCAGGTTTGAAAAGAGAACATTACTTTTTTTTTTTACTTTGGTTTTCGCTGCTAGTGTAAAGATAATGGTTATGTCTAGGTAAGAGTTAACGCTAATGAAGAAAGACATGCATTAACAATCTTCGTTGGAATCGTAAAACAACTCACAGCCAACTTCCAGATTGAGACGAACAAACTGTTCAAAAGTTCCCGGAAAATGCATCGGGTGCACTTGCTTTTGCATATGGTTATAGAATGAGACAAGAACGTCTTTTGGATTTCTGTTCAAGTAAATTATTTTTATTTTTGTTCTCTAATGCTTGCTTGGGAATATATCTGAAATATCAATACAATAAATCTCGTTTGTGGATTTTAATATAAGAAAAATATCTCAATCACCCAGTGATTGTAGTAATAAAACCACTACATCTATTGAGTAATCCAAATATGCCAAATTAATTTGGCTCATAACTTATCTGCATATTTATATCACATAATTTTAATTACTCGATTTCAATACATTCATCTAATAAGTTTTAAATGAATCTTATAAATTAGTAGTCTTCCTTGTAAGCTAGGAATTATTTTATCATGCATGAGTAATTTTCTCATTGTCTCCCCTAGTTGACACATTTAAGTCAGATCTAGGTTACAACACACCAGTAACATTCCTGCGATGAGCAGTCTCTGACTAACCTAAAGGCATAAAGGAAACAACGAGCCGGCCCGCGGCATATCATAAGCCGCTATTTAGTTGTTGTTTTTTGTACTTTTCAGTAATTCATAATTTGTGAATTCGACAGTACCAACGCTGACACTGAAAATATTTCTTTAAAACACTTTAAGTAGCTCGTTAAGGACCATAACCCCCCCCCCCCCTTCCTCTCCCCCCCCCCCCCCAACGTTTAAAATCGTTTCAAACTAAATTATCTTCCCATAATAGCCGTCACTAAACCCGACTCCACGAAGGTAAACAGCGTGAACCACAGCTCACTAAGACCATGTAGGGGTGGGGATGGTAGGGAGCGCGTTTACAGCTTGTTTTCTAGCGTCTCCCAGAAGATTGTGCAAACGTTTACAAGGACAACTTTTAGTTACTGCACTAAGTTGGAAAAAAGAAAATGATTTTCCTTTCAGACAGGCAGGGCCGGCGCTACCTATAAGGCGAACTAGGCGGTCGCCTAGGGCGCCATCCATATGTGGGTACAAAAGGTTTAATCGCTATTATCAAAAAGTACCAAACAATTAATAACTTTTATAAAGGTATAGCGATCTATTTCGGCACCCAGGACTAACTACCAATTTTGCAACGAAGTTCTAATGGAATTTGATTGGTAATAGAGAAATGAGAATACAGATAATGGAGTATCGTAGTTTTGGAGTTCGGGAGTATTGATTCTTGTGGTATTTAGGTATCGAATTATATTTATTGTTAAAGTGTAATAGTAGGTCCAATGAAATCGTTGTTGATTGGGAGTACCGTTTGTAGAGCTTGGTGAAGTTAAACGAATCGGGGTGGTAGTTCTGGAGCATCGAGTCTAGTTATGTTTAAGTATCAAAGTTTGATATCTGTTGTGATTGTAGTAGATTGAGTATATCGAGTAGTCGGGGTTATAGTACTTACGATTATTTCAATTCAGGACGGAACACACTACAAAGAAAGGAAGGCGTTCTCTAGTTGAAAAATCTTTAGTTTTTTTTTAGGAATCTATATTACCACCCTTAAAGTATTAATATATAATATTAAATAAGATGGAATTTAAAACTAACCGTAAACCTTGTTTTTTCAAATTATGATTTATTTTATATTTAATCAATAATTCTAGCAATGTCTAAAACAGGTACCGGTGTTGGATTTTATGAAGGCGTCCCTTGATTTAGGGGATTCAAAATTTCATCTAACTAGTTAATTAAGGCATTAATCAGTGATTGTCATAAAAATTGAATAGAAGTGTGTTATAATAAAGCTACCATTTTCGGACTTCCAAACAAAACCTATAGTTAAGTATTCAATAGGTAGAATATATTGTTTTTACATGTTGTCATAGCTAATATAAAAGTTTCGTTATAATTATTACGTCATGAAATTTAGAGCGTTTTATTGTGTTTTTCAAGCATGTCTTAGTTACACTTGGTTAATTTAGCTATTCTTGTGACAGTTATTTCCCTTGAATAAAATTTTTGTATTTGAATTGTCAAATGGGAGATAATTTGTTGCTTAACTTTACATTCATTTCAAATTCCTGCACCTTAGGTTGATCGCTTACATATAAATACAACTTTAAGTTATTATTTTCTATTGTAAAATTTATTTAGAGCTTAAGTTCTAAACAAAATAGTTTGGTAGGGTTTTTAGCATTATCAAGTTGAAAAACAAATACACCAGTAAACGTTGTAGTTTGCAATACTTAATGTTAGTGTCTTAGTCGTAAATTAAACATCTAATTAATTGTCTTTTCATATTTTTCACCCTCTCCTAAAGGATTCATATATAACAATTTTAGGCTCAAAACTATGATCTACTTGGAAGCACGATGAAAAACTGACCGCTGTTTTAACAAACAAAAAACTTCACTCTGGGGTTCAAAGAACACCTTGCTATCTCATTGGCTTCAAAACTAAAGTGAGCCTTACACCTCACCTATCCTAAGATATTCAACACGGTACGAAGACAGGTGAAAGAACTGGAAAATATAATAGGAAGTGTTCAAACAATACATGTGGATAAAACACGCCACGCTGAAGGAGAGACTGAGATTATCGCTCAAACTACTGGCGAGATGTCATTCAATCAATTATAAAGAAAATCAAAGTGAGCTATGAAGAGTTTCTGTATGTGTTTGGCGTGCAGCAGGAGGCTACCGTCATGAGACAAGTGTTTGTGAAGCTTGACGCAGATGGCAGTGGCTTTTTGACCAAGGAAGAAATACTTGATGCTCTCAAGTCTGAATTCGAGTTGAAGTTAAAGGCCTCTAAAATAGCTGATTTGCTGTGCTATTGGTGTAAAGATGCTGACAAGAAGATAAACTATGAAGAGTTTGTTCAAGTGTGGTTACAGAAAGGCAAAGAGAAGTAGAATGTCACTCATTCAATACGATTCCAGCAAAATCCTCAAGTAATGCTTTTTTAAAAAGCATTTCAATCTAGTTAAAAGAAAACATGATATGTGAACTTGTGTTCAGAATTGGCAGTAATTTAATTTAGGCATATATATATATATATATATATATATATATATATATATATATATATATATATATATATATATATATATATATATATATAAATATTAAATATATTTATATAAATAAATATATATATATAAATATATATATATAAATATGTATATATATACGTATATATATGTATTATATGTATATATATATATATATATATATATATATATATATATATATATATATATATATATATAAGCAAACCCTTTTTCTAGGTTGTCTCTTTAATTAATTATCATAATGGTAAAAATGTCTTCCAAAATGTACTCGTTCCCATTGTTAACCATTCTTCAACAGGATTCTTTTGTAATGTTAATTTGGTTTAATAAATAGACACGAATATTTGTAAAAAAAAAAAAAAAAAAAAATTTAGGCTCGAATCTATTATTTATAACCTTTTATTTTTTAAAAACAAAAACAAAAAAAGGACATTTTACCATTATAACTTGTCAAGCTTAAAACAGGTAAGTTCCGTTATGGAACTCACCTTGGGATGTCTGCAGAGAGCCCAACACTACAAGAAACTGTTTTTTTTTTTTTTTTTAGAGTTTTTTCCCCCAGACTTTTTTTCTCCCGGAGTGGAGGGGGGAATTCAAAATTAACTGAGGGAAGGGGGGGGGCTTTGTCGCAAAGTACAAAATAGACTCGTGAACTTAGCAACAATTTAAATAAAATGTGATTACGCTTGCAAACTGGAATGGAAAGAATTAGTACAAACTTTTGAGACGAAGAAGGCAAGTAAAATTTGATTTTGATGTCTACTTATAACGTGTAGGCAATTGATAATAAATTAGCATGTCACTTTTAATTAATTGTTTTCTTATAGGCCTACATGTTTTAGTAATTAATTTGTGTGAAAGGGGGCGTTTTAATAAATTTTGCCTAGGGCGCTAAATAACCTGGCGCCGACACGACAGACAGGAATGCGCCACTATTTTTATAATATCATTATCCATTTTTAGTTTTCTCAGCAAAATCCTTGAGCCCTCAAAGCTTTTTAAAATATTCGTATTCTATTCACTGACCAAACGGTTTAGTCTGGGATTTCTGGAGATAGGCAGGTATAAACAGGATGTATGGTATATAGAAAAAAAAATATGTATCGCACCATTGCCGGCCGTCTTAATCCGTTGCCTTGCACCTGCCCTTGTCCCTCTTTTTAGCTAAGTTCTACCGCTTGAATTTAAGCTTAGAAGGATTTTGTTACATGATAAGTTAGACAAAAACATCCTGGTATGGTTTTATGGTAACAAAAATAAAGTAAAACTCATTTCGGTGTCACTAATCTCGGCTCAAATGATGCCTTAACTTTGTAATATTATATTTAGCTAGAGATCATCACTTTTGACTCACAAAGCCTGTGAAGTTCGATAGCTAGTGTATACATAAATGGTATTCTGGGAATAATAAAACATTAGATTCTCACAGCTTGTGTATACTTTTAACTCAGATCTGTTAGGTTAGCGCTTTACCAAAAAGTCGTTTGTATTGACGAATAAATTAAATAGGCCTACATAGTATTTCGTTTGTGTTGCCTATCATGAACATATCGTATCCTGATACTGCGCTTATTAAAGTTAAAAGCTTGGGTACCTGTTCTATAGAAGACACTTTAGATCACACTTTGCCACACTATAAGGAACCAAATATTTTAGCAAATCGTGTTTCAAAACATGTGCACGAATGATCGCCTACTTGATATTGCTAGTTATTATTGATAAAATATGTAACATTTTTGACTGATTTTTACTGTAAACCGTATTACTCGAACACAAAAGAGATCAGTAGATTTAAAACAAATTTGCTTATAAACATACAATAAGACAGTGAATAAGTTCTTAAATAAATGTCGTGTTCGAATAATGAAGCTAATATTTCGATTTCTCTACCTACTACAGTACTGAGCTACCCCAGCTCTGTTTTATATCTGGCATATGATGGGGAATTAAGGCTAATGTATCTGCTGAATTTGTTGATATTTTATATATAAAGATAAAATCAACTTTAGATCAGGAAAATACTAAGGCGTTTCTCTTACTACTAAAAGCCTGAGAACTTATTTGCTTGCAAGTTTTAAAATTAATACATTATATTGATAGAAAATATTTGAAAATTAATTTTCTAAAACGTATTCCTAAAAAAAAGAAAGCAATTTATGATGCAAAGTATTTGTTATCGTGAGGAAATGTAATGTACAAACCTCTTTGAAAAATTAGATACTAAATATTTTTTTTAACATCCACTGTTGACATGACGTCATTGATTGCTTTACACCTAGCTACCATACACCGACAGGAAATGATTTCTCAAATGCAAATGACGTGCAATTTCTTTCTTGTAACTTATAATATTTTATAATATTTCATTTTTACAAACACATTATATTTTGTATAATATATAAAGTTTCCCTTTCAAACATGACGGTCCATGGGGCAAGTGAAGTAGAGTTCATTTGTTTCTGTGACCTCGGCATATGAAGAGATAGTGTGCCCAGCCGCCTTTACTTTCCCTAACGTGAGTTAGGTATCCAATTGATTTCGGTGGACTCAGGGACGGTCTACTGACTTGAACCCGGATTCGAACTCGAGACTTATCGGTTAGCAGTACAGCTCTTGTATAATGTATAGTATTGATATTTTTCCATTTATATATGACTAGCCATCGGTACCCGTTTCACGTGAATTATAGGCCTATATATTTTAAAATGTTGTACTTGTTTGAGAAAAATATTTTATAAAATAGTTATTGGTCAAAACGCAATGTGCTTTACTACACGCTGGATGATATTAGTGACAAAGCAAAGAAATAAATAATTAGCTAAAAGGCTACCCCCCCCCCTCCCCGAAGAGAAGCCTAGAAGAAACGCTCCTTGCGACAACATCACAACGTAACATCACCTATATTTGAATCTCCTCCAGTCTAGCTAACCGAACCATTTAATCCGTACCTAACTCCTACTTGATCCAACTTACTCTTATCAGCCCAACTGCAGCATTATTGACTTAATCAACATGAGCCACGCTAATCTCTAAAACAAATATGTCTAACATACGAGCTAAGTCTTACTAAACAGGGTGTTAGTTTATTATCCCGCTTTGATTAATCCCTGTTAATCTCGATTATATTCTTTGATTAAAGAGATTATTACCATAATAGAAATATTTTTAATTTGTTAGAGTCGAACACGTCAGCGAATTCTTAAAAGCGAAAATTCTAAATTAATTAAGTCACGCGCGATGGGCAACGTAGCATATGAGAATAATACTCACTTAATACATGAGTCGTATTCTTTTCAGAAACTCGTGTTATTGCACTGTTTTTCAGACGTAAAAATAGTTTTCTACTATACATATCTGTCGCTTGTCGTTTTCGATATTTATACTATATACACGTAAGAATAAACGAGAAAACAATATTTTTTTTTCTAGGAAAAGAGTCTTATCAAATTAATACACAGGAAAGAATACAAGCCGTATAAAGTCTCATCTACCCCTGATACACACCATAACATGCATAAAACAATACATTGTCACAACAGCACTATGCAATAAATAAAGTTTTCTAAAACATTATTTTAATAATGTTATTGTGGTTTACCGTTTGGTTTGCATTACAACCAAATGTTTCATTGTGTTATACACATCGTTTTAATCTTATGCCGATACGTTATTTATTTATTTTTGACAATAATCGATTTTATATCAGCCCACTCGAACTTCTTCTTCTTCTTCTTCTTCGTTCTTAATTATTAGTGTTGAAGGGGATCGAGATTTATCTGCCAGTGGGTTTGAACTCGAGACTTTGTTCGAATTTATCGACCATGAGCTTTTTGCCGACTCGTCCACGCCTCCAACACAATTAAGCGTTACGTGTCAACTGGTTATGCGCCATTGAGGCCATTGACTCCGATTTCAGCCTGCTTTTCTTTTTGGATTTGCTTCCATAGCCTTTGTCCAACCAAGAACAAACTACAAGGCAGCAGTTGTTTAATTTTGGAGTTGTCTCTCCTAGAAGAGTGGCTGTCCCCAGCTAACGAGCCTCATCTACCCGAGGGCTCGAACTCGAGACTTTTCGGTTTAGCAACCATGAGCTTTACCGACTCGACCACGCCGACCCCCCCACTCGAACAATAGTGCGTAAAATTATTGCCTTTTTTATCGTCCCCATTGGGCAGTTTTTGCAATTTGTTGTTTACTAGATGTGAGGTAAATTTACTCCCCAAAAACCCTAAAAGCAACTTATCGTTTCTAGGACCCTATTCCCCACACATCAACAAACACGTTCATAAAGCTCCATCTAGCCAAGACATGACACATACATACCAATCTTATACAATCAGTAATACGAGGGTTTGCGTGGTCGGGTCGGTATAGTTGCTAGTTACTAAAACAAAAAGGCCCACGTTCGATCCCCAGACTGTATAACTGGGTTAATCAACCAATTTAGGAAACAAAAATGTAAAATAAAAAACTGCTGTCTTATAATGTGTTCTATGATGGACAAAGACTAGAGAAGCGTATCCAAATTTAAAAGTGGGCTGAAATCGAAGTCAAGTGCCTAAACGGCGCATTACAGAGTGAAACAAATACTCAATCGTGATGGAGGAGGAAGAAAAAAAAACAATATTCAGTCCTTTTATATATTGTGTGTGTGTGTATGTCTGTGTGTGTGTGTGTCGCTCTGCAAATCTTGGAATATTAATTTAACATACTTCACATAGTCTGACTGAGCTAAAATTTGGCACACCGGTTGATTTTTGAAGAAAATACAAGAATGTTAATTTTTGTTCTTCTACTTAGATAAGTCATTATAATTTAATTTAAAAAAAAAAAACGTCAAACTACTGTTGTATTTTGCTCGCTTATAGAAATTTGCATTCCGTTTCATAAGGAGTTCATTGATATGTTTACTTTGTATAACATAGTATGAGACCTATGTTCAATTATCATCATCGAGAGCCTAGGCTTTTATTTTTAGTCATACAAGCATACAGGTTAAATAAAGCTACACCAAAATATTTTTTTATTACTTTTTAATGCATGTTTCTATTTGTTGTATTAGTTTGTGCTTGTGAATATAATGAAAGCATTTTTCGTTTAAAAATGATTTGCGAGATTTAATTTTCAGACACCAAAGTCGCACACCTACTCAATGAACTCACACGCCAACAACTGTGATGCCACAATCTAGTACTTCACGTGTGACATGGATAAAGGTGAGGGGGAGGACTTCAGCTAAGATATCATATCACTTTCTATGTGTAAACAAAGTCATACATCGCGTAAAGCGAATAACAATAAAGGAAATCAGGTAATACAGATTTTGCTTGGTATAGACAATGGTCAAATCGCTGTGGCCGAACGAAACTTTATGTAACTAATAATAAACTCATGTGAGAAAGTATGAGTCAATTTCATGAAAAAAATCAATAATTTAATATATCTAAAATATTGTATATTCGTTTAGTATTCAGTAGATGATTAAGAAGGGGGGTGGTGAGAGGGCTGCAGCCGATGACCCCCGATTTTTTAGGGGCCCCCAAATTTACTGCGTATATATATATATATATATATATATATATATATATATATATATATATATATATATATATATATATATATATATATATATATATATATATATATATATATATATATATATAAAATGTCAGTCCCCGATCCCGTTCAAGCTAAATCTGCTGTCATTATTTTAGTCCACATGACGTCTATTTTAATCTCTAATTAACAAGCCTAAACTAATCTGCAACAAAATGTTATTCGATATCTGTATTAAGGTAAATGATGTTACAAAAAATGAGGGATTCCTTGTAACACGATACATACGGATAATGGCTCGATTCTTTAGCAGGCTGGATTGGACAAAGGTGACGCGGAGGTAGTTCAGGGTTGGGAAACGAAGCGCAGGCAGACGGACGCCCAAGATTGGCAATATATGGCAGGCGTTAGGACGAATAATATTCCAGTACAGAGGTTGACATTTTGATTGACAACATTTTTTTCTTAGAAATTATATCTATATATATAATTCTCTTCTTGTAGACGCTAGAAAACAAGCTGTAAGCGCGCTCCCTACCACCCCACCCCTACATGGTCTGGTGAGCTGTGGTTCACGCTAGATGTTTACATACATCGTAGAGCCGGGTTTAGTGACGGTTATTAGGGACAGATAATTTAGTTTGAAATGATTTTAAACTTAAGGGAGGTAACTAAGAGGAGGCTGCTTTAACGGGGGGTGTGGGGGGTGTAGGGTAGGGGTTGGGGGAAAGGAGGGTGCGGGTAGTATCGTCCTTAACGACCTACTGATAGTGTTTTAAAGCAAATATTTTCAGTGGCAGCATTGGTACTGTCGAATTCACAAATTATGAATTACTGAAAAGTAAAAAATAAAACAACTAAATAGCGGCGTATGATATGCCGCGGGTCGGCTCGTTGGTAATAAAAGCAATGCGATTATTATTTGGTCTTTTCAGTTGTATTTTTTTCAGCCAATATTGCTCTAAATACGATTGGATGTTAATACACTAGTTGTATCGTAACATAATAGAGTGGTCAGAAAGTAGAGTTTAAGACTAACTGAAACGTCGCGAGTTTGGATCCCTAGACTATGTGAGCGACTAATTATGTTTTTCCATGCTTTTTGTTCTATCGCTCACTAACGTCAGGGGAGAGAATTAAGTGTATAAGAGGGTAGTATAAAGTGGGCAGTGTGTGTGTCTGTATAGAAGAATATAAGCCGTCACAATGTCTGTTTGTGGATTGTTCTTGGATTATTATTATTCTACTATGGATCATTGTTGAATGTCTCAAACTACAAAGATGCGTAAATATATACATAATAAAGTTATACGTTCATCAAGAAGTGTACTGTTAAGCAGTGGCGTAGCGAGGTCGGGTGTCACCCGGTGCGGCACTTAATGGTGTCACCCCCCAGAGGCGTTTCGATTTGCACCCCCCCCCCTCAAACTTTCGATTTGCACCCCCCCCTCAAGTTTTTCTCTATATATTTTGCTGTTTTTTGCCTTGGTGTCACCCCCCTAAATGGTGTCACCTGGTGCGGTCCGCACCCCCTCCCCCCCCCCCCCTTCGCTACGCCTCTGCTGTTAAGTAAATATTATGAATCCACAATAACAATGCTATGAACCACACATACGTATTGTTACAGTACCCAACATAGATATAATCCGCCACTGATTTAAGCCCATTTAATTGACACCATCTGTAAAACAAAGCATTAAAACATCACTAGATGCCACGTCACTTGCCACGTAGATACAACCGAGGCTATTTAATCTCAGAAAGACGACCCATTTACACATTAGTCAAGAAGTCATTTTCTTCAACAGTCAACATATTTACAGAAGAAAAGCAACACACTGGGAATAGTCATTTAACTATATATCATCTTAAAGTAAGTTAAATGTAGAGTTGAGTTATGAAATATAATTGTAGAAATGTAGGCTATACTTTTTAAATAATGTAATTATGTTGTTTACTTTATTTGTTATTTTTTGGACTTTTTTAAAGGACATTCTTGTGGAAGTAACCATTATGAAACTCCAAATTTTGGTTGTTTTATATTTGACAAATCTACATTGCTGGACGGGTGTAGATGGAGCAAATGACACACTATTTTTAGATGGCGTGGATGACAAGACCACTACAAATCTTCAAAGCAGATCTTCTGAAGCAGTAAGTAGTGATTTTTTGTATTTTTCTAAATTTGAATGTTAAGTAATTTTACGTATTTTAAGTTCTGTTTGACATAATAATTAAACAAAATACTCATATATATATATATATATATATATATATATATATATATATATATATATATATATATATATATATATATATATATTATGCACTATATAATTAAAAGAAATTACAAAATAGCGGCAATCGACACAAATAAGAGAGCATAGTACTATTGCACTTTGATTTAAGTAGTCAAAAGGCGACCGCTTACACATACTGCTTGAGACTGATTATTTTTTAAATGCGTATTTTACAAATCACATAATTACGATGAAAACATTTGTGTCTAAGAAATGTAAAGAAATGTACATATTTGTCTTACAGTACAAGCTGCCATATGTTAGAGAAATTCGTTTTCCGATGTATTCAGGAAAAGTGATATCTATCGAAGGAAATACCTCAGGAAGTGCTACAGAGTTAGTTTCATCATACTTAATATTTAAGTTTGTGTTAGGTCTTCATGTTTTTTACAAGCAGCCTAAAATAATGGTTTTGTAACAGTTTTTCTGGGGGTTCTTTATATTTTTATGTATTTTCTGGCATTTAACTTTTATAATTCTAGTTATTGATGTTGAATTCAAATTGCGTTATTTTTCGATTTTATTTTTATTTTTATTTTTTAATTTCAATTTTGAAACACGTACTTGACTACATAAAAAATGAAAGTTGTCTTGACATTAGTATCTAATTAAAGTTTCACTGCAGTGAATTATGCGAAACGTATCTAGATTTCAGCTTACATTTTATATTACTATTTAACAAAGTATATCATATTTGAAACTATCCAAGGGAGCTTTAAGCTTTGAAACAGTGTTTGTATTAATTGGCTTCTAATTGGAATTGTACATTATTACGTATTTACCTACAGCTTCAGCGCTCGACTCTGTCGAACAGATTCATGTGGTAGCGAAGTGCCCCTAGGGCTGCGATTTGACTTCAAAGAAAATAAATTGATTAGATCTTCCAGCAATGCTAGCGCAATAAATTGTGAGGAAAATTATGGAAGTCTACCGATCAAATCTGGAACGGAGTTTAAGTTAGACATCATAATTACAGACTCAATGTTTAAGGTATATAGCTTATTTAATATTTGATGAAACAAGGGGTTTAAAGGGGAAAAAATCGAGTTTATTAAAGATAGATGTTTTAAAATATAAAACAATTTGTTAAGCTTTGCTAGACAATATACGTGTTCTCTTCTGCAAATCAAGTATGAAGGATGCTGCAATGCAATTACCATGTAAAGAATAAATAAACCGGGAGTACTCTCCCCTAAACTTTCTCGAATATTCCTATATAACACTACGGGCGATGGCACCTCTGGATATAGACTACATTTTTAATCAATTTTTAATTACTTAAACTTAAAAATATAATAGAATCTCATAGAAAAAGTGAACGCCAAACAAAATGTGTATTATAGTGCGGAATATTATTAGAACTTAATAAATTTACATACTTTTTTTTTTTGAGAAATCGGAAATAGCGTACATTACTACTTCTGGTCAAAGGAAATTACTCAAAATTTGGCATAAGGCAGATAATTAGACTTACTTGTGAAAATTCCGGTTATCGGAAATCGCTGAAAAGTTTATACGGATATACAAATTCAATATTATACTTAAATATGAAATGTCATCAACCTAGCTGTAACAGTACCCAAGTTATCATGTTTACACACACACACACACAGACACAGACACATACGGACAAGGTTGCTAAACTATGTTTTTCCGACTCAGGGAGATTTTTTTTTTTGTTCGATTACAATACTTTCTCTATACTTCGTATACGAGAAAGTAAAAATAAGAATTTGGCGTTGCTGACAAAGAAATGTCATTGTGTGAATTAATAAATGATAAAATAAGATAACATTATGTATGATTGTCGCAAAGCAGGGACAATATTGACCTTTCTAGTACTGTTGCAGACGCGAAGTTTTTAATTTTTTATTTTTCTATTGATTGTTTTACTGTGTAGGTTTGTGTATCTACTGCAATAACACTATAGATTAATTGACACTCATAAACCTTGAATTATTTTTCGTTTTATTTTTAAAAGCATAATTTCCAACATCATAAAATGTGGATGAATGTTATGTTTTTCAGATTGTGGTGAACGGAGAAGTGTTTGTCACTTACCCAAACCAAATGCCCATCGCCTATATCAAATACATTCATGTCTCTGGTCAGGTTGTAGTAAACTGGATTCTCTACTCAGTACGTTCTCTACACGGTTATTTAATAGGAAAAACGTTAACGTATAATCCTACATATTGAATGGTTCACATTGAGTTTTTTTTTTTTTTAATTATCACATTAAAATATAATAGTTTTTTTCACATTTATTTCAATGCTGTTTATATTACGTTTTATATAACACACAATTTTACAAACGAAATAGCTTACTGTGTTCAAAATACATTTTCACTATATATTTGACTTTTGTATAGCCTATTACTCAAAATAAAAATACATAATTATTAATTTTAATCACAGGTTAACGAACCGGTAAGTATTAACATGTGCTGTATTTTTTCAAATGCATTTTTAGAAACTTAACGCTTACCATGTGTTGTTTGATTTTTAAAAAGTATGGTTACGGTATTTAAATTAAATTATTGTTTTCTTTTTAAATATATTGAACTTTTTTAGTTAAGACATGTCAAAATATATACAAAATATGATAATCAATTAACAATTATTTTTAATTATACTTCTTTTTAGACAAGTCCAGTAAAGATTGAAAAACAACCAAGTGGTGAAAAAATTGTGATCTACGGATACCGAAATGCAAATGCCACACAGTACAACACTTTCTTAAATAGTTAATCGCTGCCGATCATTAATAATATTTAATCTGATTATATATATATATATATATATATATATATATATATATATATATATATATATATATATATATATATATATATATATATATATATATATATATTCTCAGTAATGGACTACACAATTTATAACACGAAAATTTGCAATATGGATGCTTAATAATACGGTCATTTTGTATAAATAATAGTTTCGCTGTCTCTCTATCTATCTATCTGTCTGACAAGAACGCTCTAGAGAAAACACAAGGAATTTAAAAACCTGCACAGTAATTCGAAAAACGAAATATGACGTCGACACATTTAGCGTAGAGTAGAACATAATCTCAAACCAGAGAGTGCACACAGTAATGTAATGACGTCATTGAAACATTGAAAAAAAGGAAATGTTGTCTAATCTAAATGGTTTGCGTGAAGAGTTTCTTGCATAGAATTCTTTGAGTAGGGGCGAAGCCCCACCCCCCGCGTAAGAACGTCTGAGCCCCCCCCCCCCTCCCCAACTCAAAAGAAATTTCCTCATCGATACTCTATAATAAAATGACCGCCTAATTAATGTGTCTAATCTAAAAAGTGGTTTTCTCGCAATTTCTTTAATGCAATTCTTCGCGTAGTGGCTAAGCGCGACACCAGTGTTTCTTTCAGACTTTTTCCTCCCCGGAGAGGGGTGGGGGTACTTGAAATTTTCGGGGGCGGGGGTAGAATTTTCGGGGAGGGGGCGGACACTGGAAAAAGTATATAATTATATTTCGTTGAATGGGACGGTAGACATGTTTTTTTAGAGGGGGGGGGGGGGGGGGTGGGGGGGGGGGGGGGGTAGGGGGGTGAGTGGGGGGGGGTGGTTTTAATTTAGACTTTTTCCTCCCCGGAGAGTGGTGGGGGGTACTTGAAATTTTCGGGGGTGGGGGTAGAATTTTCGGGGAGGGGGCGGACACTGGAAAAAGTATATAATTATATTTCGTTGAATGGGACGGTATACATGTTTTTTGGGGTGTGGGGGGTGTGGGGGGGGTGGTGTGGGGGGTGTGGGGTGGGTGGGGGGGGGTGGGGGGGGGTGGTGTGGGGGGGGGGTGTGGGGGGGTGGGGGGGGGGTGGTGTGGGGGGGTGGGGGTGTGTGGGGGGGGGGCTGGGGTGGTTTTAGTTTAGAGAAAAGAGACAGCACTATCAGCCTAGCGCCCGGTGTATCCTTCCTCAACGGGCCATTTTTCTCGTTTTGTATATTTGTACTAATCGTATTTTCAACAATGTAAACTTGCTACGTTTTTTGTACGTTTTGGTGTATTTAAAACATAAAATGATATAGTTGTCGCACATGATATAAAACAAACAATTAAAAAGCATATAACGATAGATATGTATCTATATGCTATCTGTTTAATGCGATAAATGGGCCCTATTGTTATTAAGAAGCTCACGCATAGGAACATACAAGACCAACTTTGTAGTTAAAACAGTTTCCCTTTCAAACTTGACGGTCTATGGGGAATGTGAAGTAGAGTTCACTTGTTTCTGTGACCTCGGCATATAAAGAGGTAGTATACTGACTTGAACCCGGATTCAAACTCTAGACTTACGGGTTAGCAGTCCAGCTCTCTACAAATAGACCACTCCGTCCCAACTTGGTAGTTACATATCATATTTTATTTAAAGTTAAGGTAAGTATAAAATGATAATATTCACTAAATAAATAATCTACTGAACTTAATGATCTCTTTTCAAAATTGTGATTATATACGTATTCCTAATCGTAATGTTAAGCATACTATTAGAATTAGTTATTAGGGTAGTTTTCAAGTGTTATTATATATATATATATATATATATATATATATATATATATATATATATATATATATATATATATATATATATGCACATATATATAGTCATTGACGGGTATTAACAAATAAATGATTTTTTTTTGATTTTTTAGTTCATTTATATAATGGTAAATTATAACTTTCGTCATTATCGAATTTTCGCACATTTTCTTTTAAAGAGCATGAAGTTTGAAACGTGGTCTCGATTATAAATACATTTCCGACAATTTATGTAACGAAATTTGATTAGAGAAAAAAGTTTGTGAATGCTCCATATTTTAAAGTGTTGAGCCATTATTTTTTTTTGTTTTCAAAAGAATCACGTTAGTTCAATTTGGAAGCTAAAATTTAAAAAAGAGGTATAAAAAATAAAAGTAAAAACTCGGACAAAGCTACTTTAATGAAAAAAGCACCTATAAATATATATTGGTTTAATACACCATTTTGACAGTCTAGCCTATCGTTTAAATTCATACACGTAATTTTTAAGTATCTTATATAAATATTATTGATGGGCCTTTACAATAAACTATATATGCACAGGTTTGAAATAAACATTCGATGCCCACTGGTAAATAACACTGGAGATATAGCAACGCACCTAAAAGCTTTGTTTCAGACAGGAACAAAGTCCAAAACAGTACTTGTCGACCATTTTCAAACTGGAAAATGGGTTAATCCAGTAACGTATGAAAAGTTTGACAAACCTAATGAGCAGTTTTGTTTGGAATTTTTAACATACACAAATTCAACCACGGTAATTTCAAAATTGTATACACACGTAATGTTAAATGATCTGTCTATAGATTAGATCTTTGTTTAGTGTAATAATTTTACTTTAAAAAATTAAAAACAGTTGATAATTCTTATATTTAGGTTACAGTGAACAACAACTTCATTGAAACCAGGCAACATGGATTGAGTTGTTATAACAGCCTGGAGTTTTTCCCAGACATCAAGGTAGAACGATTGCTGATGTCATGAGAGGTTCTAAACAATGGCATTAATTGCATTTTCTTTTCTGTCATGTATTGAATTATGAATTAAAGTTTAAAAATTCTGGAAAAAGTTAACTTTAAATTATATTTTATTTAATATGTATATGTATATTTGTCTCTCACATACATACAAAGACACACATGCGTACCACATAAACATTTATTTGGGAAGAGACATAATGCCCAGCTCCATATCCAAACACACACAGTAATATTCACACACACACACACACACAAACACACACACACACAACACAAAAACATAAGCACATATACTCCCGCTTATATAAAGATAATTAGGCTACTTTGCTTGGATTTCAAATAATTGTTTGGATCCATGTAATGTAATCAAAAATATTGTTTTAAATAACTGACTAGCAAGTTTATTATTACAAAAAAATAATTTCGTGTTTATTTGAATTAAATAACTAATTCGCAAGTTATTAAAAAGAATACTGTCTGTTTCCTTAGATGTTACACATTTTTACAAAGATTTTATCAATTATAGTAATATATTTATCTTGAGCAATCTTCACGATACACTCAACAAATTGTAATTGTGATTATTGATTTAGTTTTTTTATAACTGTGTCAAAATTATATATATATATATATATATATATATATATATATATATATATATATATATATATATACATATATATATATATATATATATATATATATATATATATACATATATATATATATAAATGACAATTATTTAGAGGTGAAACTTCCAAAATCGCAAATAAGTTACAACAATTTTAGGGCCCAAAAAAAAAGAAAAGGTTAAGTAACAAAGAATAGCATAATCTATTTTGTTTTCTAAAAATAATGCAAATTATGCAATAATTGTACACACACTAAAAAAAACAACTAAACTCCTAAAATTCGTAATATATATATATATATATATATATATATATATATATATATATATATATATATATATATATATATATATATATATATATACTAGCGTACCCGTCCCCGCGCGTTGCCGCGGGAATACAAGATAGTCCGACGAAATATATAAGAAGGGATTCATCCATGCGTTACCAATACAATATTCTTAGACTCGTGACCTTATTTTCTAAAAGTTATTTATTTAAATGTAAACACTGCCTGCGCTTGGATCATAAATATCGGGACACGGGTTTACCTACACTACCGCGTGAAAACCTTATGTGTACATTAATCAGAACACACTTCGGTGACCACCCATGTATCAGGGACGTAGAGGGGCGCTCTCAGGAGCCCCCCCTCCCCCCGATTACAGTATCGCATAGGCGCAGCGTACGACCCCTGGCTCCTTAAAACTAACAGGCGCCATCGTGCTCATAGGATAACCCAGAGTACCAAATAGCATCCTGTAAACAATGATGCACATTTCGTCATTCGCTGAAGTGACACAAATGAACAGGATTTTTTTTTCTTTAACACGTAAAAATTATTTGATGTGTTTTAAACATCAGTGTGACTGATGCAATATGGTAGCGTTACTAATGGTCTATTATTAGATGCTCGATCTCAATTTCTGACTGGATCGTCTAATAATAGATGCTTATTGCATCATGCGCAAAGTGACGAAACTCTACAGTAGGCTCCACATATTCAAAAAGTTATTTTTTCATCTTTCGCAAGATGACGAAACTGTACAGAAGGATTTCCTCGCGTTACAAAGTTATTTTTAGAAGTCTGTTGTAGCTTTACCGCTGAATATAGTAGTACCCCTTACTTGCTATGCAGGACGCTCGATTAACGGATGCCAAGTGCCAACATAGTCGCTCTAAACTCATCTACTCCTTAAAGTTTCATGGCACTCGGATGAATCGCATCCGAGGTTTTTTTTTTATATACCGTGTATAGAGAAAAAAAAATCGCTCTCCCCTGGGGCGCCGCCCTTGCAATATTAATTTTTTTTGTGTGCAGATTCCTACCATTGAGTGATCTAATCATCTCCACAAAGTTTCATGGTACACGGATGAACGGTGTGAAAACGAAATTTTATAAACCGTATATAAGAGAAAAATCGCAGCCGTCCGTGGCGCCGCCCTTGCGAAATTAACAAAGGTGTTTTTTTACAGAACCCTTCCCTGAATTGTTCTAATCAACTCCCCCAAAGTATCATGGCTATCGGATAACGGTGTCACACCAAAATCGAC